ACCAGGAAACAGGGAGTTCTAGTCCTGTCTCAGGTTTGAAAGTTGGCTGGGTGACTTTGAGCCAATCCCCAGGAGATGGTGAGTTCTAGTCCTGCCTCAGACCTGAAAGCTGGCTAGGCGACTATGGGCCAATCTCCAGGAAACAGGGAATTCTAGTCCTGTCGTAGGCATCAAGGTTGGCTGGGTGACTTGGGGCCAATCCCCAGGAGACGGTGAGTTCTAGTCCTGTATTAGGTATGAAAGCCAGTTGGGTGACTACGGGCCAATCACCAGGAAACAGGGAGTTCTAGTCCTGCCTCAGGCATGAAAGTTGGCTCGGTGACTTAGGACCAGTAATTCTTTCTCAGCCCAGCCCACCTCACAGGGTTGTTGTTATGGGGAAAATAGGGAGGAAGGAGCATTGGGCCTGTTCACCATCTTGAGCTATTTATGAAAAATAATAAAGACTAGATAAAAAATACTGTATGTTAACATAAATAAAAAAAAAAAGAATTGTACTCCTACGTACATGGCTAACAATTCCTGGAGAAAGAGGTCAACAAGACGCTCCGTAGGCATCCTGTGGCGGGGAGGGTGGGCAGGTTCCTGAGAGGTCATCCAAACAGTGACACCCCTCCCACCTCTGTTTTCTTTTTTTCTTTTCCTTTTTCTTCGCTCTAGGGCATTTATGTCACTCGCGTGACCGAAGGCGGACCTGCAGAAATGGCCGGGCTTCAAGTTGGTGACAAAATCATGCAGGTAAAATTACGTCCCGTTTAAGGAACAGTTGGGACTCTTCGCCCCTCTGCTCTTGGTGTCTTTCAAGCCGAATGGAGGGAGATTTATTATTCTTCCAGAGTCCCCAAAGGTGCATTTTTTTCAGGGGGCAACTGAACTTCCTTGTTTGTTTGTTTTTTTCTTCTTCCGAAGACGTTTCTCTTCTCATCCCAGAAGCTTCTTCAGCTCTGACCGGATGGTGGGGAAAGGAAGGATTGATACGCCTTGGAGAAACACAGCTGGTCATTTGCCTCCTTTGAGAGGGTCCTTGAGGCCACTTGGAGGTCTGTCTGTGTCCTCAGGGTCACCTGAGCGGTGCAAATGGTTCCTGGAGTCTGCTTCCATTCCTGCTCCCACACCAGTCGTAGGGGGCTCATCCCAAATTGCACAGCTAAAATCTGTAGAGATTCTCCAGTCACCCAGGTTGTGGTTGTCCCAAAGGTGCCTTTTTTATTTTTTCAGGAGGCAACTGGACTTTCTGGTTTTTTTTTCTTTTGAAGACTTTTAGCTATCCAATATGGGACCTTTGGGAGGGTGGTTGAGGCCACTTGGAGGTTGATCTGTGTCCTCAGAGTCACCTGAATAGTGCAAATGGGTGTGGAGCCTTCTTGGCTGCAAGACAATGACACGGGCCAGAAAGCAGCCAATTTGCACTATTCAGGTGGCTCTGAGGACACAGAGATAAACCTCCAAGTGGCCTCAACGACTCTCTAAAAAGATGCAAATGACCAGCTGTCTGCAAGGAATCTAAATCCTCCCATTTCCCACCATCCAGTCGGAGCTGAAGAAGCTTCTTGGATGAGAAGCGACATGTCTTCAAAAGAAAAAACCAGAAAGTCCAGTTGCCAGTTGGGAAAAAAAGCACCGTTGGGACTTCAAAATACAAGTAATTTATGCAGGTTGCAAAGGTACAGAGAAAGAGCTGGGATGTGTGATCCGAGGACCATAAAAATACCCAGGTTTGATCTTGACGCTTACCATGAAACCGCTCTGAATTTTTGCAGGTGAACGGCTGGGATATGACCATGGTGACTCACGACCAAGCCCGCAAGCGGCTGACCAAGCGGAACGAGGAAGTCGTCCGGCTTCTGGTCACCAGACACTCCCTTCAGAAAGCTGTCCAGCAATCCATGTTGTCCCAGCCCTGCCACTGAGAGGGGGATTTGAGCGATGGTCTTCGTGACACGGCGGAGGGGTTTTGCAGGTGGACCACTTGTCACCTGTTTACCTGAGAAACTTAAAAAAAAATAATAATGACATCACCCAAAACACCTATGCAAAAACGACTTTTCAGCGGGGTGTCCCCCGAAGAGGGCACCTCGGGAGGCAGTTTGATGGCCACTGGATCGAAGACGGCGGGCATCAAACTGCAAAGGAGGGAATAGCCTTTTTTCTGATCCACTGGGACCACCTAAGAGCTTTTTCTCCCAGAAATTATCTCCAGCGGATGAGTCCATTCTTAAATTTCCGTTGTTGTAAGGCGGCTGTTTTGAGGGACGAGATGGCCTTCTCATGAGCTTCTGGCAGTCCTCTTATCCAGACCAAAGTTTTCACTGCCAATATCTAGGATCCCGCACGGGGTTGTGTTTTAAGAGGCATCCAGGGGCGCGATTCAACTGGTGTAACGACCGGTTTGGTGAGCGTGCGCTTCACAACAGCTGATCGTCGGAGCGAACCGGTTTGCTCCCAGCTGATCGTCGGAGCGAACCGGTTTGCTCCCAGCCGATCCTCGGAGCTATCGATTCACCCGAACTGTGCCGAACCGGGAGAATCCCACCCCTGGAGGCATCGAACCATTGGCTTGTCTCTTAAATGTGAGACTGAGAAGCCACGATATAGACAGGCATTTGAAATCGTTTTCCCCTTTCCAGAAGTCCTCAAACGAAAGCGAACAATTTCAGTGGCCTTAAGCCTTCGTTTGCCTGGCCTTCCGCTCGGCCAGAATCCCTGTTAGCCATGATTTGTTGGGAACAGGCTGACGTTAGCGACCCCCACTGTGTCTGAAGGCCGCGGTTTCCACCCTTGAGCAGGTCTCTTGGCTTTTCCAAAGTTAGCTTCCAATCATGGCTCTTGTGCCAAATTTTTCCCCCGAAGGCCTTTTTTCTACGTCTTGTAAATAACCTCCCTTCCAACATTTGTATCACTAATTTATTTTAGTATATTACTGCTATTTGGACTGGTGAGTGGTGCGGGGTGGCCTCTAGAGGTGGAACTCTCACCTCAGAATCAGGAGGCTGCGAGTTCGATCCTAGGTAGAGGCAGATATTTCTCTCTCTGGGCACAATACGGATATATCTGCTGAACGAAACTCCACATTGGCAACAGGAAAGGCATCCGGCCATTCTAGCTCCATTCAGTTTTTCCTAGACTCCACCCCCCGCAAGGGTCATTAAAAGATGACAACCGCTATTTTGATTCGTTTAACTTCCGGGCCCTTAAATCTCGGCCTGTTTCGTAAGGAAAACGTGTCACAACCCTTCTACCTGGTTCGTATCCCTGTGGTTTGTTTTTTGAAGGGGAAATGGCGGTAGGAAGGATGGTGGTTGGTTTTTTGGGGGTTTTTTTTTTGGACAAAGCCGTATGGGTTTTTGTGTGTTTTTGTACTGCCGAATCACATCAGTTTAGTTCGGAGGTTAAAGCTGCCAACGGGCTGCCGTAGGTCGTTTTACACAAAATAAACCAAGCTGGACTTCTGATCTCAAAAGTCTCTTCCTTTTTTTAAAAAAAAAAAGAAAAGTTAAGCTAGAAACCTGGAGTCAATACACAAAAATTACGTGCACGCCCAAGAAAATGTATGAGAAATGAGAATGAGAAATTCTGTTGAAACTTTGCACGGGTACAAATAAGTCCCTGACTTACAACAGTTCGTTTAATGACCGAAGTTATCGCACCACTGCAAAAAAAATGGCCATTTTTCC